AGCTTTTGTGATGTTATGAAGCAAAATATTGAAAAAAACTGCTCAGGTTTAATATATTACATTATTTTAAAAAAAGCAAACAGCGTTTGGTATTTATTAATGCATGGTGGGGCGCCATGAATTCAATTTCATCAAGCATTGTGAAGGTGATTGACTGCATATGTAGCGCACAAGATGACTTGCGCTTGTTTAGTTAGCGATGTATCAATTTAGTGTTTTCATCCTTGCACCCAAGTCTGGTATGAAACTGTCGACCCCAGAAAGAGATAGGGACTAGTTAGCACCGGGCACGGGTGGAACTAACGACCACTTGTATATTGAAAGACATCTCTAACCACTCCGTTACACGCGCCTCCTATGCCATTTTTTGCATACGCCAATTTGATCTACGCAAACCTCTATTAGTTTTAAACTTTATGGTCAGTTTTGTGGAGGAAAATGCAAAAATCGCGTTCCTATTGGTTGTTGGTTGTCAGTTAATTCGCGCTAGATTTTTTATATCGCTCTTAAAATTCACCTTAACTTGTTTGAAATGTCAGAAACTAATAATGGCTGCTGATAACAACCCGTCAGATATCATTCATATGAAGAATACCGAGCCTGTTGTTAAGGAGTTTTTACAACGAATAAGGACTTGAACGCGAACCAGTGAGGGCTATTTGTAGCGGCATTCAGTATAGAATCGGCGATTTCTATAAAGCCGTTGAAGGTTTTTTGACAGCTTTTCGATTAGTGAACGCATTTTGGTCGTGGAAATTATCGGGATATTTGTAGGGTTAGTGATGTTTGTGACAGGTCTGACAGTATATCGAACGAGATGAAAGGCATATTCAAATTCGTTTAGCCTCCGGACCACCACTCGTGAAATATGGGCTCGCAATTTCGTGAAGAATCGCTTATACGTGCTAGTTATCACTGCCGATCATATGCGCTAAAGTTTCGGGAACATTTTTTTTTCACTTTTTGGCAAAATTTCGATGGTGTGAATTTGTTCGAATTCAAGGAGTCTTATTCGTAGTTGCACCTTTAAGCACGAAAAACGATCCTGGCCTTCTATGCATGATTATTCTTGGAAAGTGTTTCTGTTCTTCATCTCTGCTCAACCATACATAGCTTCTGTTTTAATTCACATGACTTCGGTTTATCGAGTTTTTCTGCATTTTTAAGGTGGTTGAGATCTTCTAATTCTGCTTTCCTTTCGCCCAGTTCTTTCACCGGCTTTTGAACACTTTCTGCGTTAGTTTATTTTGAAAACATTTTCAAACATTTACCATCGCTGGTCGCGTGTCTTTCCTCTCATCTTTAAGACTCCCAGTTTTCATCACAAAAGCTCTGAAATCCTCTTCATTTTGGACAAATACAGATTTGATACTGCGACGATTAGTTCAAGTATTGATTCGAAATATTGCTCGGTGTTGTTTTGTCCAATTTCTTTTTCAATGGACTAGGTCGGGGAAAAAGTTGAATAAAAACAAAGGCAGTAACATAAAAATGTAGATTGTTGTATAGGCCAAGTATGCATTCAATCAACTCTACGAATGGAGTCAAATTTGTGCGAATCTCTATGGGTTAAGTAAACTCCAACGACTTTGTCCATTATCCTTTGTATAAGAAAGTAGTAATGAAAGATAAAAGGGGAAAGCTCACGGCGTTGATCAATCCCTGAGGGATGCGCCATGCTTTCGACTTTATTGAGCGTCGTTTGGAAGTGATTGAATGCATATCTGGCCTTTATAATAACTCGCGGTGGCCTACCGATGTATCGAGACAGTGGTGCTATTCTCCCAGGCAAGTTTGGTACCAATTTGCCGTTTCGGGAGAGATGGATCGCTTGGTGGGCCATGGGCACGAGGATCGATTCCACGTGTGTTGCAGGGCGCCTCCGACCACTACGCCACACGCGCCCAACGGTAGTGATAATAACAATAGTTCCTTTAGATGCAGCGAAAAGACGTTTTAAGATGAACCACAAATAGTGAATCAAAATTCACGTACATCCCCGTAATTTATTCATTGTTCAGGAATTGCTTTCGAAATTTCCAGCACCTTTAAATTGTTAACATTTTAGGAGAAAAGAGAATAGATGTGAGACTTGTGGCTCCACTAACGACCTCGATTCATCAGAACGCTGTATTTATCCTGGTTACACCATCGAAGTTGTACAAATATGAAGGGAAAAACAGTAACATCCTTGAGAAGACCAAGGTAGATAGTTATGATACTTTTCGACACAATTTTTAAGAATTGTTGTGTAATTAAGTTCGTGTATTATCGGTGATGCTGAGGTATTTGCAAAACTCCGGACTGCAGGTGTCTGCGGTGGGGAACGAACGCGCCATTACCCTTTCCGGGGGCTAACGCGTTCACCACCACACCATGAGGGTCCTTTGTTTCGCCTGTCTCTCAGCTATTTCTATCGATCTTTGCCATAGCAATCACCCGTCAGCGGGATTGATCTGGGGCGCCCAAATCGGCATAGAACCCGCGTTACTCCCCGGAAAGGACAATAGCGCGTTCGTTCCCCACCATAGACACCTGCGGTCCAGAGTTTTGCAAATATCTCAGCAACGTTGTGGTTGTATCCATGTATTATTTGAGTCGTAGTGGTCGATATTTCAGAGGAATTTTGCTTTTTCGGAATCAAACTTTTTTCACTTAGATTCGTGAGCCGTTTACCACACTATGATGTAAAATTTTTTTTATACAACCCGTCTTCACGTCTAATGTGCAGATCCCGGCACTTCTCACATTCAGTTCATTTCTTCGAACTCGTCATCCAAGAAGCTCTTCCAGTTTCTATATCTGCCTTCGGCTGCTGCTTAAGGATTTTCCATTTCATCTTGAATGTCGTAGAATGCTAGTCGAGTCGATTCTCCATGGAGTCCTGAAGTAACCATTCTAGAGCATTCCCACTTCAACTGCAAGGAGTGGTTTTTCCTCGGACAAGTCCGGTCCCAATTTTCCGACCCCAGTGTCAGCCACTAGGGAACAAATATTGTTTTACAGCTTTGTAGTAACGCTTTCTTTTCCAATAACTAATTGTTTTTCGATAACAGCACTGTTTCAAATGATATTATAACATTCTTACTGGAAATGCTTAACTCAGTTGCTTTCCACCTTGTTTTATTTTAAAGTCGTTATTTAGTCCTTAATAAAATACTAACAGCTTAAAAAAGCTTAGTTTTTTTAAACTTGGGCATGGTTTTCGCTAACACGGGCGACACCTTATGGTATACTGCCATCTCTTTACGGGCGAAATGGCGCATGTTCTATCACTTAGCTGCTTGGAAAAACCTCGAATGGCAGAGAACAGAGAAAATGAGTTTCCTGAAGTCCAGTATTTCACCATAGCGGAGCAGCTAATTTTATTAATATGGGGAAAGTTTGTGATTGTAATGGCTTTTATTCTGTTTGGGAAGGTTCATTTTAGGTTGTAATATGTTTGTTTGAAGGATGAAGGGTAAATGGTTTTCGTTCATGTAAGAGTTCTATTCGACTTATACGCTCGCGAATGCGTTAGAATCTTTGTGTCACCTGATTAAAGGAGTACGAGAATTTAGTCGCCAGTGGCATTGTGAAAAGGAGTTCATTCTCGAGAAAAAAAGCGTGTAGCCGATAGTTATTGAATTTTCAGGCTATTCAATTATGTATACACATTACAACGAAATCGGACTTGTTTTGTTTTGCTGTCAAGGCAGAAAACGCATCAGGTAACATTTTTGTGATGAACCCTGAGTATTGACTTCACGACCGACTTTCTATTAACCTCGGCATTGGTCGAACAATTCCTTATATTCTTGTTTAGCAAAGGCGTGTTATTATTTCTTTATTTGCTGACAAGCTGACGTTTCAGCGGAGTTCGCCTTCCTTAGAGCCTGTAATGGTTAAGTTGACTGCCACTGACCAACAACGACAACAATAAAAATTCCACTCAACGGAACGAACTGCTTAGCTTTCACGAATTTTCATGTGACAGGATGACATAAGATGTTAGGCATTTACAATTCCATCAGTTGTCAAATCGTCGGTACGGATTATAAGCGAGCGAATCGAACGCCAAGGGCGCAAAAGCGTTCTTGTCATTCTATGGTTCCGTAGCATTGTCTTATTCCTTCCTTCAGTTATATTTCCTTTACTTAACTTGTTGCCAATAGTTCAACCGTCGATCATTCGCTTTGGCCCAACTGGCTCTACATCTTACCGGAAATCACTGTGGACTGATACCGGGTTCGTTCAGAAATGTGAAAACGATGAATTGTTATATCGGTAGGCCGCCGTAAGTCGTTTTTAAAACTTGACATGTCTTCACATGTGTCCTGTGAATCCCATCTTTTCCTCGATTTCCCTTTTTCGATTCGTTTCGTCTCATCCATCATCCACGAAGGTCTTTGGTTTCCTGTGTGGGTTCGGTTACTGCTTGAGGATTTTCTATCTTTATGAATATCGTTGAATGTTGGTCGAGTCGATTCTCCTGATGCGAAATTCGATGCTGGGGTAGTTGCGCTAGGGCGTTCCTAGGTCGTGCGGACGGTGGAAGCATCCAAGAAGAATTTGGCCTCAATTCCCCGACCCAGGAGAGATAGGAGGATTACTTAGCCTATGACTTTATATATCCAATGGTTGAGCGTATTGAGCGGCTTCATTAGCACCGCGCCACACGCACCCCGTAGCTTATTGGTCAAACATGTATTCATTCATCTCTATGATTATTGGCGGAATCAAACGCATTGCGCATTGCTCAGGGGTTAATAAACGCCGAACGCTTTTTTTTTATTCCTCAGTAATGTTATTAATTTCTTTCGAGAACTCTTTTATTAATCATTTATTTAAGTTGTGATGATTTCATTGATAATTAGGAGGCGCTTAATGCTTCTCATGATTTCTTCTCCTTCGGATCCTTCCTAAGCTAAACATGAGAAAAAGTCGTGGGTTGTTCTATTTCAGAGTCCCCTGAGGATTTCTTGTCCTTGTTGGGTGGCGGTGAGCCAGATTTCACGCTGATGCGAAACACGAGCGAGCCCTTCGAGAATGTCATTGCGAAAACAAATCTTGTTCTTCGAGTCACTGACGACTATAAACTTCAGTCCGTGGCCAAAGGCGAACACCCACGCTTTGGCTTTCTTCAGCCTAAGGAGGTTTGCTCACTGCCATTAGTTAGATATGTATACGAAATCGAAGCTATCGTTGTTACCATGGACGCTTAATCTTACTTATATTCACTTTCATATTTGACGAAAGAAAATCCCTGTGTGGCTTATTTATCTCCGAACACAAATATTTCGTTTGTTTTATGTACTAATACATTAGCCTGAACCTATGAAATCCTCTTTACCCTTCTTTATACTTATATTTCGCTGATCTTGCAGACTCTTATCTTCGATTTCGGTTCGGAAGTGTACGTATGGAGTGGACGTAGTGCCCGTAAGACATCGGGCCGCTACGCAGTTGAGTACGCACAACAGCTGGTAAGGAAATGTTAGGGCATGCAGTTTTCATGAACATAGTTGTATTATTATATTATTTCTTATTATGCAAAGTAAAGAGTGTAATTGAATGACCAACTAAACTTCGAATGCCATAGCGGTTCTTCTGGAATGGAATTTCATGATATCATAGAGGACAAAGTTTGCTACATCTAATTGCCACTCATTTGTCGATGAGCAATTCTCAGTTTTTTTTCAGTGTGTTTCGTTTGAAATCTAGGGCGAACTACTCTTTTACAGATGACGAAGCGAGTTACATCGGACTCCTCATTGTTTGGTGTTGAAATGAACGAAGGACGAGCGCCATGGATACTGTATTTACGCGTGTTCCAAGGTGTACAGGTAGTCTACTCGCCTTAAAGTTCGGTATATAGACCTTCAAACCATACCGTGTTCTTAAGGGACTCTTACAGGCTTTGTAAAATGCATTTAGTTCTCAGATTTCGCTTTAAAGTGGTTCGATTATTGATATTAGATATTCTGGTCTGGTTATATCGGGTGTCTTTTTATGCTTGAAACCCAACCTGTGTTGGTTTCCACTAATACGTTATGAGATGCAGAGCAAGGATTTTTGATGTGGAATGGTGCAGTCGTCAACCATATGCGACTATAATCAGCTGTTCTAAACTTCCTCATTGGAAGTCACGAAAAAGCGGCTCTGAAGAAGGCGATACTGCCGAAACGTCAGCTAGCGTTGTATTGTATTGTGTTTTTCTATGGAAGTAAATGTATGCTGTTTAAAAACCTCGCAATTGCTGAACAATAAAACGACACATTCGTATTCCAACGCCGAGGTTAATAGAAAGTCGATCCTGGGAACTTATTTGCATTCTTTTTCTCAATCAACTGTGCTCAATAATGTCACCTTAAAGAACAAACACGGAAAATGAGGTACACCTGTTCTTAGTAGGCAAGTAGGAAAGAAAGAGTGCCTTCTGTATTCGGTTTCGCTCGCAGTTCTATAGTAAGCTTGTAGTTCATACAAGATTTTCTTTTTCAGAACTGCCTGTTTGCTTCAAAATTCTCTGATTGGCAAACAAGTGAAACACGAACATACAGTACTCCGAAAGTTTTTCAGCCAGCGGTGAGTTTTTTTAAAGGCTTGTGCTTAGCGCTTTGTTGTTGAGCGGACACGATGATGTAAATAACAAAATTTACACAATCCTGGCCGACGTTTCGGCAGTTCCGACGTTTTCAAAGTTTGGAAAGGCCAAGTTGAAACGCAATCTACTCAGCCAAACAATCTCGTAATCCATGCAGAGAAAACTCAATACGTAAATTTAATTTGCATAGTAAACAGCTTTTTTAAACACTTACCGTTTTGTTGTTTATAAGTCTGTTTATACCACATGCGACTATAATCAGCTGTTCTAAACTTCCTCATTGGAAGTCACGAAAAAGCAGTGGGTTTTTCGAGAAGTTGTTGATCGTGTAATTACCAAAGAGTCTTTCGTCTTCGTGTAAGTGTTATTGAAGCGTTTGGCCTAGTAGATTGTATATCAGTATACCCTTCCAGGCTCTGAAGAAGGCGATATTGCCGAAACGTCAGCTAGCGTTGTATTGTATTGTGTTTTTATGGAAGTAAATGTATGCTGTTTAAAAACCTCGCGATTGCTGAACAAGAAAACGACACATACACTGTTGGCTGTTCGAAATGTTTTTCACAATACTTATGGTGACATGGAGAGGTAAAACGGTACACTACTGAAATGCTCAAAGCGAATGATATTGCAAAGGTGAAATAAGACTGTGTATAAGTGCAAATTTTTTTTTGGAGTGCGAGGACCATCGACTCGGATCATCGGCTCTGAGGAAGACGAAGACGTCGAAACGTTAGCCGAAAATAAACATCATTATCAACCTCGTGTAAGCTCATCAAAGAAGGAATGCAAATTTTTTTCTTTATTATTCGAGCGTAACCAATGATTGTTAGGTCTTTGGCGAAATCTTCATTTGATTGGTAATTTGCTGGTTGTGGAGGATTTTCACTTGTGGCTATGTTGTTGTGAGGATGGCAGTGATTCCTGGGAATTATTTCGTCTTAGTTCGGTTTCCGGATGGAAATTTCAACTCTCTGCCTTGACAGAGGAGCTTGTTGGGAGAATGAACATTCTGCTGTACATCACAGGTCGACATCAATGAAAATCCTTAACCACATTGAATCTGGAAACAATTTTCGTTGTTTTTGGTTACTGTTTCTGTACTTGTTACTTGATACTTGAGCGGCCCGTCCTCACTAGCTGTGCTGGCCCCAGCATAATCACCATTTTTCGAAGATTTGCTGGTTAAGTCACTGTTGTTCACTGGAATCCCGAGGTCACCCTGGCCACAGTCTGCCCCAAGTCTTCACAACCACGGGCAGTCGAAGCCCTTGTGGATCAAAGTGAGATTTACCACAATGCGACTTTGATACTAGAACGGTGGTGGATCCTGGTATTGGTTTACTCTTAGCTAGGCTTCCTGGTGGAAACGCCGGGCTCCTTCTTAACTTGGGAGACCTTACCAGGCGGACGAATTCTCCCTCTGTATATCGCAGTCCGACACGCAGGAAGACCTCCTAGCCACGTTGAGGCGGCAAACCGTTGGGAGGTAAAACTCTCTAGTTACTAAAAAAATTTTTTTATTGTCAAAAAACCAGAAAGGCTGCAGTTGTGCGAAAATTAGTTCCTATTCCCATGCGAAGACTCTCGCTGAACAGCACGCTTCCGTTCGGTTAGCCCCGTAAATTGATAATTATCTTATCAGGTACAACAACGTTGTCCAAATGAGACGCTTCATGCTCAACATTTAGCGAACATGATCCGCAACATGTCTCATCCAGGACCGTCGATAATATTGGGTGAAAATTTGAGAAGATATTCAATGCTGCAGCCATATTTTCTTCGGTACTTTCTTGAGTTTGCAGAAGACCAAGTGATGACGCGAGAGATGAAGAATGTTGTCACGGAGAACTTAGAGTTTTGGCAGTTGATCGGCGAAGAATTAGTGCTAGTTGAACGAACCAATATATTTATTAATAACTGTTGCTATGTAATACGCTGGCAGTATCGGATTCAAACCTCAGGTAGAGCTAAATTGTTTTTTCTCTAATATGTTGGCTTAAGTAAAGAAAATTTAGGACGTGTGGTGTTGGCGTAGATTAATTATGCGTGTCCATTCCACTGCATTTGCTCCATGCTTTCCGAATTTGTTTAATCAATACTGTGGATCTAAGGAAGACTATAACCTACAAGTGATTATAGATGAAGACTAAATCAGGATTATACCCTTTAAGCGATTTTGTGTAGAAGATCATTGGTAAATCCCCAATCAAATTGGGCATTGCTGTTGTGTGATTCCTTTGTAGATAATTGTATTTCTACTTGAATGCACTGCGTAGATAATGTTAAAGGCGAACCATTGATGGTGATAGTTCTTTTGATGATTGAGAAAGTAGTCAATGCGCATATGATAAAACCTCACGCTCTGATACTAAGTGATGGGACGATTGTTCACGGAGGGAAACGTCAGTCTCGTTCAAAGTTGGTTCTGTCAGGGATAAACATTCAACATGTGTCACATTTTGGCGCTCATCGATAACTTACTATTGGAGTGTGATCATAGGACACTTTCCGTGTGTATGAATTTTATGCCTACTTCTTATGAGTTCTAATTATCTACAGGAGTTCGTCGGCTTGGTTCCGGTCAGTTATCCGAGAAGGAGACAGGTCGTCAGCGTGTGGCGTTCTTCTATTGGCTTGGTGCTAAAACGACATTTAAGCAGCACGGACTTTGTGCCATGCGACTCTCGCAGATGGACAAAGAGAAATATCCACATATCAGAGTCGCTCAACTTTCTGAACCGCCATTGTTCCTCAGTCTATTTCAGGGAAAATTTATCGTTCGGTTTGTGCTTTAAGTGAACTCTCATTTGACGTCTTCTTCTTATTTTCTTATCGCTCTTCTTTTCCTCAGGCGCCCTAGTCCATCCATATGTCGAACGTTCGTTGTTGGCGGATGCTCACTAGCGGATAGCTATGCAACTGAAGTTGACGCAAACACAACGCTTAGGTCTCATGCCGTCTACTTGAGGGTCCAACGTGAAGCAATCATCGTCATTGCAGGTGCTGTTAGACAATAGAGTTTGTTGTATAGATCAGTTATATCTTCCGCAAAATATTTACGGATTTCAAGTATATTACGAATTCGACTGAATAGTGTGTTGAGACAACTCTGCAATATTTTTGACTTCATGTTTGCTTTCATTGAAATTTAGTATCTAAGCGATTTAAGCCATTTCTCTGCAGTCCTTCCATTTGCTCTTACCTTTTTTAAAAGCATAGTTAAAATCAGTACTCTAACAGCTGTATTTGTTCGATTTCATATATTGGTTTGGAAATGAATTCCTTGCCGATTTTAACCATATTTTACTTTCTATTATTATTTATTTGGAACACAATTGTAATACATTCGCCGCCATTATGGAGGACAATGTGTCATTTTTGGGCAGCACCTGAACTCCTCCTGATCAGATGAAGAGAGCTTGCAATCCGAAGGTTTTGGCGAAACCCTTGTTGGGTTTGTTTCCTTCTTCGAACTTCTTACCGCGTAGGTTGGACTTCAGGGTAACGAATGGTGTGATACAGTGCTTGCAGTAGTCTGCGAACCTCAGAAGAGGATTGTGAGGATGTATCAGATTTCGCTTGAACTCATAGTTTCTCGCTACGAAGGAGTCATAGTACACGTGAAGAATTTTGTTCCGATGATGGAACAAGTTCTCACGATCATGATTTCTACAAGGAATTTTTATTGGTGCAGGTGTCACAGAAGAGCGTCGCAAATGTTGAAAACTCCAAACGGTTGTGGACGGTCAGAATGTGTGGTGTCCAAGAAGTCCTCACTTTATGGTAGCACATCGAGTTGAGATGTCGGTGGTGATGTGAGTGAAGCCGAATGCATCATCTGTACTCGAATCTTAGCGTAGCTCAAGCTTTCGATGTGGGATAGTTTCGTTTAAAATGATTGATCATCCATATTCGTAGCAGTTTTCATTTTCTTCGTTACTTTTGAACCAGAATCGTATGTTCCGTGTGCTAATTCCACTCAGCTCGAACCTAGCGCCAGTCTACCGCACAGTCACAGCCTCATTAGTGTGAATCACGTGCTCGTAGACACTCGTAAATGACATGATTTTTCGATCGTCTTTCTCCACCGGATGTTATTTCCCTCACTGCATCCAAGTTATATACTCGGGTAGGATACAAACCGCTTGCCACGTGAAAAGAAGAGTTCCGGAAAAGTCGGAGAAGTCTTACCCTAGCTATAATAACATATCCAGAAAAAAAGTTGAAGATGTGAGAAGTGCTGGATGAAATGAAACTTTGCAAGTGTTCCCATCTACCGAGATTAAATGAGTCACTATTTGGAAAGTCGTCGAATATTGTCTTCTCGAGTTCAACATCGTTGAACAGCAGAATTATTGAAAAAAAAAAACTTAAAGAGATTGACGAAGGGACATTGCGACACTTTGTGTTTGCACACATGCGAGGCGTTCTCGTTGAAACTATGGAAAAGTAATGATAAAGTAATTCAAGAAAAGAAAGAAAGCTGAAAGTGATGTAAAATGTAAGACATCCAAGCTGATTGCTACATAGAACAAAGTGTTCCGCGTTGATCGGCCCTCTGCTAATGTGCCGTGCATTCGATTTCACTAGATATCATAGAGATGATTCGATGCGTATTCACCCTAAAAATCACTTCCAGTAGCCTATCAATGTGTGCAGTAGGTGTTTTTTTTTCTGTCAGGAAGGCCTGGTACTAATTCTTCGACCTCGGAGAGATAAAGAGTTGGTTACAATGGGGCTTGGGACCGAACCAACGATCACCTGTGTGTTGAGGGGCACCTTTAACCACAGCGTTTCACACGTGCACTCATTACTATACTAGCAATTTTTATCTCGGATTCCTGTCTACAAAGTAATTAATGTTGTTTGTAAATTAATGAAAAGATGTTTTAGTCCAGAAATGAGTAGTTGCCTGTTCCACTTTACGTTTCCGGTGGAATTCCAAACAAGTGGAGGAAACACGTGCTGTACTTCTAGGTTCATGCACTGATTGCGTTTTGGTAAAAAGTGGTCTGCTACTTGCAGAAAGTATACTGGAGCTAAAGGAAGTCTTCCATTTGACGGTACGGTTATTTTAATAGTTATATTGTGATTAAATGAAAACGCATTGGTTTAATGAAACAGTCAGGTACTTTTACAACTGGCAAGATTTAGAGTTCAACACGAATCGAACATCGTACCGAGGGCGACGACGTCAACAATGAATGGATCAGAGCAGTGGGCAGGACCAAAACACCTCGGCTTTTCAGGGTATTCGAGTACGAAGCAGAAGAAATTCTAAGCGCACAGTACCATGAGCGGTGTGCCTTCCCGGCCTCACAAAGTGCACTTATGGATACGATTTTTATCGATGTTGGAGAACGGTTGTGGATATGGAGTGAACGAACACCTTCTACATTTGTATTACGAGTCGGCGAGTTGTTCTGGAAGGATAGGAGCGGTGATGCTATAGTTTTAAGCAAGGGCGGAGAACCGGATGAATTTGTGGCAATTTTCCCTGAATGGGAACACTGGACCGAAATATATGGTCAGGATGCGCCACCTAGACCACTCAAGGTAGAACATTGATTGCTCACTAAATTGTAGCTTCAATTATGGCTAAATTTTAGGAATTGCTAACAGAAAAGACAAGGACGTTTGACGTTGAAATGCTGAGAGCACGGACATCACTTCCGGAAGGAATCGATATGAAAAATCTGCTACAATATCTATCACCGGAAGACTTCAGACGAGTGTTCTCTATTAGCGAAGATGATTTCTCGAAATTACCAATTTGGAAACAAATTCGCTTGAAAAAAGAAGCGGGGCTGTTCTGACAACATAAATAACCACAATTTGGTTAGGTAAGTAGTGACTTGTACATAGTATTTCCTTCTCTAAATGATTGCAGCGTGCTAACTTCTAGAGTAAATCGCCGTCCGGATAATGACTTTCTCAATCTCAAACCTCACGTCTAACAGATTCGCAACGGAGTTGATTTTTTTTTACAACAGATGAAATTTTTTGATCACTAGAATGTTTCGGTTCTTCAGAACTTGATGGAAAACACATTGCTCTGCCGTATCAGTAGCATATATTGTTTTTGTACTGTGTCCTTTCAAGTTGTTAAAACCTTTAAAGAATTGTTATAATGAAATTTAACTTCTTAAAAATCCCAGCGGAGAAGCGGCATTTGCAAGCATAAATTATGCTTTGAGGAGCATCATCATTTCGTGCTAAACGAAGTCTCACATGTTCAGTTTTTTTTTTGTGTTCGAAATATAAACCTCGACGAAGAAAAACGGTGAAAATAAGTTTCGTGGGATCCAGAGAAACAGTTCGTCGTAAAGGAAATGAACTTGTGTCCTGTACCAATTTCGCATCGTACGGATTCTGTAAAGTCGTCCGGAATGCGATTAGCATAACCCAAGCTTATCTTGCCTAAGTAATTAAGTAAACTTGCTATATGAACAAGCTACATCACAATGCGTTGTAATCTTACCACTCGATTATTACTCATGTCTGCTGCAAGACGATAACTCTGCATGTTTACGTAGCGTCCTCATAACAGGGTGCCGCAGATTTGAATTATATTACATTCCTTGATAGTCTCTTTATCATTCGTGTGTTTTTACATCACTGTTTATCCTGCTCACTCTGTGTTCACACTGAGCTGATTAAATTCTGATTAGATTAGCTTTAAGTCCACTCAGCTATGAACACTTTCGTTCCATCGTTCTTACCTCGAAAATGGTTGGATTTGTCTCATGTAACACATCTCTACTGGTTGCTGTAGTTCAGAGATTGTATAATAAATGGAAATAGTTGTACGAAAATGATATATATATATATATATATATAAACCTGTTTGCTTTATGTAGTCTGGAACGAAATTAGCAGCGATGAGTCAGAGCCTTCTTCTTGAGCAGACACAAGGTTGTCAGTAACAAGATTAATTCAATAAATGCTAAATTCCCATCGGTTTCGTCTTCGGAGCCTAAAATGCCAAACTGGAACACATCTGCCCATCCATACACTTTTGTAATCCAAGAAGAAAAAAAGGCTATATATATATATATTATTTGAATTGTGAACAACTTGTTTTAAGCACGTTGTTTTGCCACATGTAAGTTTTGCAATTATTGCTGGAGAGCAGTCGTACAGAGTCTTATATGTGTAAGGAATGTGCGTGGTTCAGGTTAAACAAAGTCAGTCTAAGGTATATCACACGGTCACGCGTGACTACAAGGCATTCATCCATTCCAAACGCTTTAAGAAATTCACACGTTGGTTTTTTAGATTCCTGTACTACGTAGATAGTGACTTTTAGTTCAAAACCTTCTCTATCTCCCTCATAGAGAGATGCCGTGCTGGCTGTACTTGAGATAACGTGGCGCGTCTACAGATGGCGATAGGAGGTTAATTGCGGACCAAAAGTGACCTTTTCTTTCCTGAGAAGCAGGTAGATCCTGAGGATGGACTCTCTATTTCTGCTGCGCCGACTTGGCACATACCTTCCGTGCTCACGAAGACATAGTTATGCATGAATGCGTTGGTGTTTTCTCGTTTGTTCGGGTTGTATTCTACGAGTTAATTCGGCCATAACCCTGTATTCAAGAGACTCGGAAGTACGTGGGAGTGAAATATAACTTCAATGATGCTGAGATAATTCTTCGTATTTTTGCTGAGCAAACGCGAGGTGTTATTGTGGTATGCGAGAGGTACGAGAGCTCATAAGGTTGAAAACCATAAGACTATCCATTAGTGATAAGGGTGGAGAGTTTGTCGTAATTCCTCATCAGTTAGATGTGGAAATAACGAAAAAGCATCTTGAGGATGCTTCACGTTATCGCCCGTCATCTGAGAAGGAATTCAAAAGTAAATACCGAAAATTGAACCGCGAATGGGCCAAAATGGCAAGGGCTGTTGGTTTAAAATCATCAGTTATCTCTCAACTTAAAGTTGACTTACCAACATGCCCCGTCTTGTACTTACTTATAAAAACTCATAAGTTAGTATCCAGCGATGATCTTGCGTCTACCCATCCATCACTATTTAAGGTTAGACCTATCATTAGCTGCGTAGACGAGCCAACGGACAGGATAACATGGTTTTTAACCCTAATATTTAACCAGTTGTTGAAACACATTCCAGCCCATCTTACGAATACCCAGATGTTTCTGGATCGTCTACGTACTGCGCAGCCCAACAGCGCGTGCGTGATGGAGTCCTTCGACGTTACCGCCCTTTATACAAACGCGTCGAATGACTCCGCAATGCAAGCCATATTCGAACTCCTTACACAACACGAAGGAGAAATAAACATGTATGGCTTCAAGATAGAGCACCTGATGGCACTCCTAAAAGAATGCTTGAGCTAAAAAAAAAAAAAAAAAAAGTACTACGCTCAAATAAGAGGGCTGGCAATGGAACAACGACTGGCTCCAAGCCTTGCCATTG